CGTGTCCCAGCTGGGGTCCCCCACGGCGCTGGCGGACGCTGGCACCGAGCGGCGGCTGCGGGCGGCGGCGGCGCGCGGGGGCCACACCCTGTACGTGCCCAGGGGGGCCCTGTGGGGCTGCGAGGACATCGCCAGGATGGACAGCGCGGGGACACTGCAGGTGACACTGGGGACATTGGGGACACTGGGGACATTGGGGACATGGCCAGGATGGACAGCGCGGGGACACTGGCCGTGAGTAGCCCTGGTGACAATGGGGACACTGGGGACATTTCCTGCCCTTGCGGACAGAGTTTGGGGACAATGTCCTGCCTTTGGGGCCAGTCCCTGATCGTGTCCCACTGTCCCCTGGCCGTGTCCCCTGGCTGTCCCTGCTGTCCCCAGACCGTGACCCTGTGTCCCCAGGGGTGTGCCCAGGGCTGGCTGTCCCCGCGCGTGGCGGCCGCGGTGGCCGCGGGGACGAGGACGGTGCTGTACCAGGGTCCCCTGCGGCCGCTCTGTCCCCTCGTCCCCAACAACGTCAACGCCATGGCGGCGGCCGCGGTGGCAGCGCCGCGCCTCGGCTTCGACGGCGTCACCGCCTGCCTGGTGGCCGACCCCAGGTGGGCGCTGCCACCGGGGACACCTGTGTACCTGTGTCACCTGGGTGTCACCTGTGTCACCTGTGTCACCTCTGTGTCACCTGTGTGTCACCTGCGGCACCTCTGTGTCACCTGTGTCCCCTGTGTGTCACCTGTGTCACCTGTGTGTCACCTGTGTGTCACCTGTGTCACCTGTCACCTCATGTGTCACCTGTGTGTCACCTGTGTGTCACCTGGGGCACCTGTGTCACTTTCATTACCTCCTGTGTCACCTGTGTCACCTCCTGTGTCACCTGTATGTCACCTGTGTCACCTGTGTCACCTTCATTACCTTCTGTGTCACCTCCTGGGCCACCCGTGTCACTGTGTCACCTGTGTGTCACCTGTGTGTCACCTGTGTGTCACCTGTGTGTGTGTGGCACCTCTGTGTCACCTGTGTGTCACCTGGGTCACCCGTGTCACCTGTGTGTCCCCTGTGTGTCACCTGTGTGTGTCACCTGTGTGTCACCTGTGTGTCACCTGTGTGTGTGTGGCACCTCTGTGTCACCTGTGTGTCACCTGGGTCACCCGTGTCACCTGTGTGTCCCCTGTGTGTCACCTGTGTGTGTCACCTGTGTGTCACCTGTGTGTCACCTGTGTGTGTGTGGCACCTCTGTGTCACCTGTGTGTCACCTGGGTCACCCGTGTCACCTGTGTGTCCCCTGTGTGTCACCTGTGTGTGTCACCTGTGTGTCACCTGTGTGTCACCTGTGTGTGTGTGGCACCTCTGTGTCACCTGTGTGTCACCTGGGTCACCCGTGTCACCTGTGTGTCCCCTGTGTGTCACCTGTGTGTGTCACCTGTGTGTCACCTGTGTGTCACCTGTGTGTGTGTGGCACCTCTGTGTCACCTGTGTGTCACCTGGGTCACCCGTGTCACCTGTGTGTCCCCTGTGTGTCACCTGTGTGTGTCACCTGTTGTGTCCCCTGTGTGTCACCTGTGGCACCTGGGTGTCACCTCTGTGTCACCTCATGTGTCACCTGTGGTACCTGGGTGGCACCTGTGTGACCCGGGGACACCTGTGTCACCTCTGTGTCACCTGGGTGTCACCTGTGGTACCTGGGCGGCACCTGGGTGTCACCTCTGTGTCACCTGTGGCACCTGTGTCACCTCTCTGTCACCTGTGTGTCACCTGTGGCACCTGGGGCATCTCTGTGTCACCTGTGCTGTGTGTGGCAGCTCCTGTGTCACCTGTGTCACCTTCATTACCTTCTGTGTCACCTCCTGGGCCACCCGTGTCACTGTGTCACCTGTGTGTCACCTGTGTGTCACCTGTGTGTCACCCGTGTGTCACCCAAGCCCTCAGCGTGCCCTCGCTGTCCCTTCCCTGTCCCCTTCCTGTCAGCCCAGTGTCCCCGTGCCCATTGTCACCGCGCAGGTGACAGCAGTGCCGCTGTCCCCGGCTGTCACACTGTCCCCGTCGAGGTGACACGGGAGCCCCCAGTGTCCCCTCAGTGCCACCGGAATTGTCACCCTCAGTGTCCCCAGTGTCCCCTCAGTGTCCCCAGTGTCCCCAACTGTCACACTGTCCCCTCCGTGTCGCTCTCCTGTCCCCAGTGTCCCCTCAGTGTCACACTCAATGTCCCCAATGTCCCTGTCACTGTCCCCAGTGTCCCCTCAGTGTCACGCTGTCCTTCAGTGTCCCCTCAGTGTCCCCAGTGTCCCCGACTGTCACATTGTCACCGTCGAGGTCACCGCGGTGCCCGAGGGCGGCCGCGCCCTCACGGTCAGCAGCACCCGCCGCAACCCCGCCGAGCCCGGCCACGTCACCGGCAGCGCCACCCGCCACAGCTTCTGGAGCAGCGTGCAGGGTGCGTCGCTGTCACCCCCGGTGTCACCCGCGGTGTCACCCCCGGTGCCACCCCCGGTGTCACCCCCGGTGTCACCCGCGGTGTCACCTCAGGGCCGCTCATTCTCTCCCTCCCCGCAGCCTGCACCGGGCACGGCGGCTGCGTCAAGCTCTGCTGAGGAGGAGCGGCGGAAATGCCTGCTTGGGGACGTCTTGGCGACAATTTGGGGACATTTTGGGGACAATAAATCCCAGGCCTGGCGGTGGTGGCGCCCTTCTTGTAATGGCGGCGGGGAGGAGGCGCGAGGTGATTGGTGGGGAAGCCGCGCGGGGCACGATGGGAGGAAGGGGTCTTAGCGCTGATTGGTGAACGCTGGGGCGCAAAGCATCACGGGAGGAAGGTCAAAGCGCTGATTGGGCAGCTGCTCTGGGGAGGAGGTCGGCGCGCTGTGATTGGTCGGCGCCGCGCGGGGCATGACGGGAGTTGTAGTCGCGGCCCTGAGGGGGCAGAGGCCGCCATGGCCCCGGAGGACGCGCGGGGTGAGGAGGGGGAGCCGGGGCCGCATTTTGGGGCGTCCTGAGGGGTCCTGGGGGGGCTTGGGGAGAGCAGGAAGGGCT